GCCCGCATCTTGCTCCTGCTGCTCCTAAAGCCCCGGGGAAAAGTGCCACTAGCCTGGCTCTTGCTACAAAGCTCCCAGGCTGGGAATTCTGCTTACTTTGATCAAATCTGCCCCGTGCCCAGCAGTCTGGTCTCCAGCGGGGAAGGTGTTGAGGTGCCCGCCTGGCACAGCCCCATCCGTGGCTGACAGCGTAACTCACCGTGATATGCAAGGCTGTGGCCACAGTTGCGGGGGGGAACTGCTGCCGTATGGCTTAAGGGCTACTTGGTGGTTTCATGTTGATGTACCCCGAAGAGGGATGTGAGATCTATCCCGGCTGTGCGATTGTGCTCGTAAAAAGCTGCTTGGGATTAAGAAACAGTGCTTTGAAGAGTGATTGATGTATCTGGCTTTGATTTTTCATTTGCTGGTGGAACGGACTGAGTTTTGGTTTCAGCTTTGTACAAAACTAATAAGGAAGCCCTTGTGTCTTGGGTAATTCTAGCAAGTTATGGCAACATAAACATTATTTTAAAATATCTAGCTTTGTGTCTGTTCCCTCCCCATGAAACAACGGTGTAGGAGTTTCTCCCCATCTCCCGCATCCCAAAGCACTGCTTTAAGTTGCTAGACGGATGCTGTAAATGTGTGGATGAGCTTGCCCTCATATGCTTACACACGTGTCTATACTAACCTTGTAAGATTGTATTTCCACCTCGGTGTGCACATTTTGATGTGCCAGTAATTTTTGTCAAGGTATCTCTCAGTCAAGTCTAAACCTAAACTGTGCTACGTGGAGAAAGAACTGGCTAGTAGCACATAGCGGGTTTGGCCTCCATCCTTGGTCCCTCAGGACACCCTCAGCACCGATGCCTCCTGCAAGACTGCAATCTCCACGCCTCCCTGGAGAGCAAATGATATTGTTGATAGCATTTTTTAAATTATTTTTTGGGGGGGTTAACTTCCCTCCTTCACCTCAGGATAGTTTTCTACAGAAAATCAAACCACCTCACACTGATTGTCATCAACAGCATAATTCTGGATGAAATTAGGGCAACAGTGGGACTGGTTTGGTCAGTTCACTTAGTGATGTGCTGATCTGTGGTTCAGTTTTAAGCGTTAGTACATATTATTTGAGTGTTGCATCATTCTGCCTTTTGCAGGCTTTATAGGTGGAATGCTGTAGTATTATACCCCGCTGAGTGCTTGGTCAGTAAGAAACAAATGAAATGATTAAACACTATTTTAATGCAAATAACACCACGCAGCAGAATGGAGGATGTTGTGCTTCTGGTGAAAGATGTGGAAATAGGTACCGTACGGAAACAGAAAGAGGGGATCAGTGTAAGCAAGTGAGATTTGGATGAGCTGAGCTGCGAGGAGCTTGGCCGTGAAGATGGCCAGTGCGGTGCACTTGCTGGCTGCAAGCTGGGAACCTATTTGGGTGAGTTTAAGTTACTTAAGCACAGTAAAGAGGGAGCTGAAAGGAATTAAGATTGCTGGTGGGGAGGGAAGAAACACACAAGAGTAAAAAGCAGTATGATGGCTAAAAGGACAGAGTTAGATACGGGTGAACGGACTAACTTTGGGTTAAAAGAGGTGTCTGAGTATCGGAGGGCAGAGGCTTCGGAGCAACCTTCAGGTCATAGCGGCGAGTGGAGTTTCAGGATGGAGGTTGTTAAATTTATAAGGGGAATTACACGCTATAAATAGCAGCAAGAGGAGGCTGCCTCAGGTCCTGCATTCCAGGGACCTTGTTCCACCATGATCCAGCACAACCCAAACGCACCCTGCAGACAATGTTGGGTTTTCTGATGGGGCAAAAGAGGGGAGCTGGAGCTCTTGCGGCGGCCGTGCACTGGGACGTGCGGGCGTGTTGAGTCTGTCTTGGGAGCGAGGTAAATACACGTGATTAAGGTCTCGTCCATCCTCATCTGAAACGCCATCGTTTAGGACTTCGATTTGTTATTACTTGAGTATATACTAAGTTCACGTGGTAGCAGCATTCTGCGCTTCAGTGAATATATACTAACCCAGCGCAGCGTGCTTTCTAACGGTGTTTCACGTGGCTGAGTAGAGTTTCAGTTACTCTTAAAAATGAGTGAAAATCAGACACCTACATCTTTTGAATATCTGTGAAAAAATTAGCCTTAAAATGATACATCCTATATGGAACAAATTACAGGTGAAATGGAATAAAGCTATTGCATTAAAAAAAATATTTTAATAAGCTGTAACTAATATTTTCTAGAATATATGTGCCGCAGTCTGCAGAAAACACCTTTATTGAGCAGAATGATGTGTTCTTTTGGTTGGTCCTTTCCTGTAGTAGGTTAGAAGTTTGGGAAGTTTATTCCCTGATAAAAAGCGTATTCTGCTGTCTTGTAAGAATTTAATTGTATTTTCATGAGCGCCTCTGTTTCAGGCATAGGTGATGTGTTATTTTAACAAGTTTGTTCGGGCTTCAATGTATGATATTAATTGCACTCTAGAAAAGTTCCTTTAAGTGAAACAGGAAGGCTTACGCTGTGACTATGCAGTGCTGACGGGTGGCCGCGGGGTATCTTCTGCTGGCTTGTGGCTGGTGCTGTGCAAATAGCCCAGGACTAACCCAGTACAACGTTTCCAAGAGGGGGAGTCCAGTTCTTTGCGCAGGATGGGGCCCCTCAAGAAATACCACCTCTCATCTCAACCTAAGGATCTGCTTTTAGTCTGGGGGTCCCAAAATCCTAATGGGGTGAAGCTGGCTGCTTCAGCTGATACACGAGTTCCCCTCAATCCACCCGGAGTCATTTCTCGAAACTTGAGTGGATTCTTTCTGGAGGGTTCAACTGGTTTATTTTTAAAATATTCATTATTAATTTCTTTATCTCTGCATTTCTGGTTTTGGGCCAAACCTAACAACTGAAACGTGTCCGTGACAACAGGAGAGGTTGCTCGTAGGCTGCTTCTTGCAGGAAGCAGCAGGAGCAGCAGAGGGAAGGTGGCTCTCCAGAGGCTGCCAGCCCGGGGGAGCAGAGCCCATGGGCTTGGGCCGGGCAGGAGCCCATAGGGCTGCCGTCAGCTGCTGCAGGCAGTGAGTCCTTCCCCACAGGCAAAGCTCCTTCTCGGCACTGATTGCAGGCACAGCTCTGTGCCCCAGCCTGGAGGGACTGTGTTTACACCTTCAAAAATTTCCTAACGTACCTGAAAATATTCCGGTCGTCTTTTAAGCTGTGGGATCCTTATGGAAATCCTTTTCTAAATGCATGAATTTAATGGTACTTTACAGTGGGAAAACCCACAGCTTCCTGGGCTTTGCAATGAATTTTTTATGTCCATTTATCAGTTTTAAAAAAATACCAATTTTATATATTAAATTTGGTGGCTTTCACATCTTTTCAGTAACGGTTTTATGTTTGGAGGGAGGCTGAACAGAATTTTGCAAACCATCTCCTCCCTCCTCCTACTTAGTCATGGGAATATTTTTATCCTATCTCCTCTTCCTTTCAGTGGTCACCCTTTTATTGTGGCTTTCCTTATTTTGGCGTTGTCCTTTCCAGTTGCGAACACGATGTTCCACAGGGACCCAGACTGCCTATACACATACTGTGTTACAGTGTCCTTCTGGTATTCACTCTGCCTTTGATCCTCCTAATATTTTATTCTTTCCTGATTGCTAGCGCATTTAAATCTGGGGTTATACCTTTCATAATAGCCAAGACTGACCTGTTCAGAAGTACTTGATTGCCATTTGCAAAAGTGAATTAAAACCCCAGGTCGTATACTGAGGTGGATATGAAGATGTGCCCATCTCCTTTGTGTGTACCCTGTACTGTTGTCCCAGCTCCGCCCCGGATGCCTTGCAAGGCAGCCTGGGCTGCGGGGTATTATAGGACCTGCAAACTTCCAGGACTTCACGCGGAGTAGGACTGAACATCTTTGGGGACTTTGCTTGTCATGGCTGCATTCACAGAGATTTTTCTTACCAGGTAACGACAATCAAAACATTTTCTTTCTCCCAGTACTGCTGTGTTCCAGCCGGTTTTCCTCCCCATTGATCCATACATGGAGTTTAAAAGCTCAGCGAGGGAGTTTTTGTGTTGAGGCAGAAATACAAACACATCAGTGGGCCTTATTTCCTTCTCTAAAAGAGCATTCATTCTGCCATTGACACCAAAGCCAGGCTGAGACTATGCCTGGCTGAATTAAAAACTGAAAAGCAGTTAGGGGAGCCCCTTTGGAAAAATGTCCATTTGCCTAATTGCCTAATATTTGTGTCCTCCTCCCCAGCACTGTACACCTTTTTAATTCCTTTTCTTGCAAGTCATCCATTCAAATTGTCTGGGAGTGGAAAGCAGAGTTATTGACTGTCTTTTCATGAGCTGTCATGAAGCAGTAAATAGAGGCAAAAGACAAATGTAGGCACGTCTAGGGGAAGAAAAATCATAATTAATATTTCAGTAGAATAAAGTGCCTCTCTAAGGGCAAGAGTGGAAATAAAAGGGAAAAGAGATACTAGCTTGACATATATCGAGGTTTTAGCTATATTATTTATATATTCACATAAATCCATACTGCGGTTGTGCCTAGTACGCGCGTTCAACTATCAGTGAGCATAAAGGCAGTATAGAAATGAAGCCTTTGAATGAGTCCTTAAAGAGTTTCCATCAGTTGTCAGAGATGGGGATGAGTCTTGGATGTCAAAGTTGCAGAAGTCAGGGAGTTGCATTTCCTTCTGGTGGGGATACTCTAAAACACTTGTGAACTAAGCATTTAATGCAATGCTTTAAAAATATTATGAATATAATGTATTAAATATACGTATAAGTATGTATCACAAGGCAATAGGTAACTCTGGCCCTCTTGTAACGGGCTGTTCTTTGCAAAAAAGGATTTGGCATTTATATCAATAATAAAAGTGTCCGTGTTTATGGTAGGCTAAGCTGAAGAAGAGATGCCAGCTTTGAGCACACAGGTTGAAGTAAGTATTTCCCTTGGAGGCAACAGGATAGCTGGGCCTGTTTCAGACAGGGGCGTGCATGGAGGCTCCAGAAGATCAACACAACATCCCTCACCCCTTTCTCCTGCTGCAACACTGCCCTGCGTGGTTGTCCATCTGGATTTTGGAGGTGGACATCACGTTGCAGCTGCTGGCAGACATTCAGTGGGGGACAGGCAGTGCCAGTCCGCTACATGGGGCAGCCTTTGCCCGGGACGGTGTCTCCATCGAAGGGCAGATCATCCTATCCTGTACACCTCAGCATACAGACTTGCCATGCTTGCTCCCACCGACCAATGAGGAGTATATTAGAGATCCTCACTGTAGAAGTGACCGTGGTAGCCCACAGTCAGATGTCCACATGTTTCTCACGATATTTCCGGAAAGAAGTATCCTGGGAGCTGCAGATTCCCATGCAGAGCCTGAGGTCTGGGGGCACCAGGTAAACTCAAAAGCTGAAACATTTGCCCTCTAATTTCTGTTTCTATTTATATTTTGAAAGTGTAGGCCTGAGGCCAAGAGCAGATAAATTGCCCAGACAGTATCCACTAAGTTACAGCCATTGTATACTACTAATTATTGTGGTTTTTTACAAGATACACATCTTGCACAAATACAATTACTGTATTTTCAGCAGTCAGTACAAGTCATTCATTTCCATATTGCATACCAACTTGGTATTTGATTAGCACCAAATTCAATCTGTGTTAATAAGCCTAAGGCAAAATAAGCTTGATACACTATTATTTAGCAGTATTTAAACATGAAAAACTAGTTGTTTGGTATTGCTATATTTAGGTTTACCGTAGTACAATAAACAAGTTGAACCAGAGTGTTAACCTGAAAGATTTTTCTATCTGGGCAAGATGGTCTGTGTCGTCAGGGAGGCCGGAGGTGCGGATTTACATTACAGGAGGTGTGACGGTCACAAACTTACACCTCTAAGCTTACAGGAAAGAGTTGAGATAGGAATAATATGAGAATAATGATAGGATGTTTCTTAGGAGTCCAAGAAGCATCTCAAACCCCTGTTACAACTCAGTAATATCTTTCTAAACGCCAACAGTAGTTGCCTGTGGTGGTGTGGGCTTAGAGACTTAAAGCTTAACGTGATTTAGAAAATATTGTCAAAATGTAGCCCACAACACAAAGATGCTATGAGGAGCACTTTCCTGCTTCCGAGACCAGCTAAGCACTGCCTTTGGTTATACCTGTGAAATCCCATTGATGTAGGGACATCATTGTTTTGTTTTGCAAAGTCAACTGTTCTCAGCAGGACTTGCGGTAGCTGGACTTGTGTCCACTAATGCTGTGTGAAATTGGTTTTAAAAGAGTAATATTAATCCCTTTAGCGGCAGTTTTCACATGCAAATCAGGAGTGCACATACCCTTCAGCTGTTGGTGAAACCTCAAGGCACTGGAGCACTCCTCTAAGCTTATTTTTCATTTCCCTTTGAGCTGCCCCTCCTGTTGCTTCCCAGTTGACTGCTGCACCACGACTGATACTTTCCCTAAACTCAGTGGACGGTAGATGCATTTTACTTGAACTGAGTCTTTGCTTGGCTTTCAGGAGCTTGAAGAACAAGGATTTCATTGTGTCTATTTATGTATGTCCTTAATTGAAGATAGCACATTCTTACCCTATGTAAACTGTAAAATGGCCCAAGCTACCTTTTTCCTGTGTAAATGAGCACACAGCTCTGTTTTAATAGGTATCTGCTGATTTACACTCGCTGAGGATCCACCCTGGACCTCCTTCCAGTCAGATGGGTGTGAGACTGCCTGCAGGACCTCGATTGTCAGTAAAAAGCCGATGTTAGCAATTTTCATCAGGCAGCATGGAAATTAATTAGCCCAATTTTATGGAAATTAGCTCATTATAAATAATTTTAGCTGGCCCATTCACAAAGCACTTTTCACATTAGGAAAAAAAATAAAGGAAAAAGCAAAGCTCTGTGAATTGGATACCAAAAAAACTCTTTTTCCCCTCTTTCTAAAAACAAATGCGTTTCAGCAGCTGTGCCGTTTGCAGGGGAGGGGTGGCACCCACAGATTGAGCCTCTAGACTTCGCTTTCCCACTCAGCGCCTGAAAGAGCAACAGTGAGTGATTTGTTTGGCTGGGTATTGTTTGGGGCTGCAGATGTCCTTGCACAGCCTGAGTTTGCACATTCTGCTGTTGCTACCTTTGGGCTTGGCTGAGGGAGGAGGAGGAGGTGGGGAGGGTACAGATGGGCAGCTCCAGAGGCATCTCGCTGGGGACACATCCCCTGGCTAATAAGAAAGAAAATAGTTCAGGCGCAAATATGTGATTACAGGGGTGAGAGCGGGTCCGTGTGCTGGAGGAGCTCTGCCGGCCCCTCTCCCTTAGACTTTCTAGACTGTTAAGGTCTTGCATTGAAGAGCAGGAAGGGTGTGTGAGCGCTGAGAGGTCTCGTGTTTCGGTGTCTGTCACAGCCCCAGAAGGTCCTGTGTACCAGCTGGGTGCTGTGAAACCTCCAGCCAGTCCAGGTCAGACAGCCCTGAGGCTGCTGTGTTTTGATCCCTGTCTTTTCTAAGGATTTCTTGGTTCTGAAGGGGATCGAGCACAACCTCTATCTCCCGTTTCGGTTTTTGCTCCTCTCAGTGCTTTTGCCAAAGGGGTTTTTAATAAAATCTGTCTTCAGGCTGGTCATGAAATACACAGGTCATGCAAGGGAAGGAACGCTTTCACCCCGTGCTCGATCTCAGCATTGTCACCTCTCTTGGGAGTTTTCAGGATTTACTGATCTTCAAAGTGTCTAGAAATTTGCCTGGGGCTCATCATTTTCCTGTGACTTACAGAGCATCTCTGTCCAGCAACCAGTTTTCTCCCAGCCTGGACTGAGTGTCCAGTTAAAAAATGTTTTTTCCTTCTCAAAGTATTATCTCTTAGCCCCTATTTCATTCTTTACTCAGATCACTATGTTTTTTGGACTCTTGTTCTTCTCTCCCTTTAGCAAATGCCATTCTCGAAACCCCTGGAAAGAACCTGGGGAAAAAAACATTTTATTTAGGGTGTGATGTGTCCTGTGTTCCTAAGTCAGTCAGATGTGCTCAGGTGCTATAGTTCTTCAGCCACCGACACCGCCATTCACGTATATAGCCAGTCTACAGGAGTGGATCAGAGCATCTTCTCTTAGGAGATTTATTCCCTTTCACTTTTTGTATACCTCTTTGTCTGGGTGTCTCCCCAGCAACAATTAATGCCTAACTGGAGCACCTACAAGATTTTCTTTCCTTGCAGCCCCCATATTAAGTGTCTGGTATTGCTCACTTCGCAGATGGGCAACTAACGCTCGAGAGAGATGAAAGAGCAGAGACCCCGAAAGGCTCTGGGGCTGGTGCAGTTCGGAGTGCGGGAGAGGGGCTGCCTGCCTGAGTGAGGAGCGTGGGCAGTTGGCAGGGGGGACCTGCAGACACCAGGAGGGGATGAAACGTTTTCTTGTATTTTAAAGTCTCTCCCACCTCCCTCCACCACTCCTGCCCCAAATATTTACAGAAGTCTTTTGAAAAATTGCCGTCTATTTTGCAACAGGGATTCATTAACGCGCCACTCAAGCGGGTGGGAGAAAGGAAAAGGTGTGGGAGATCTGGATAAATACGCTCCGTGAAAATTTTATGGAGGGGCCTATTTGTCATCAATTCTGCTGCAGTGAAGCAGTGTATTTGAGAAAACTAGCGCCAGAGTCCCAGGCAGTTCTGGCTGGGCAGCTCTGAAGACCAATGGCTCCTTTCTCTACCAAGAGGAACCGTTGGTGCACGCTTATGAGCGTGTGACGATGCTCACGAGCGTGTGACGATGCGCAAGAAGCAGTCACTGCTATAACATGAATTTTCTAAAAACCACTATTTAGAAGGAACTATGCCACAGAACCTGCTGTTTCGTTTTAAAATGTGAACTTTAAATAAACTGAAGTCAAAGGGATTTTTTGGAGGTGAGAAAAATCTTTCTGGCAAGTGACGAGATCAGGATTATTACTCCTCCACAATTTGCTTAAGCAGCTACTATAAACAGCTACTAATCAGGCTCCTTTGGTGTTTAGAGATATCTGTGGATTGATTTTAATTAGATTGGCACGTCTTTGTTAATTCTGTAATGTTTGTTTGCTTACAAGTTAGAGTATTTGGGTGCTGTGAAGCTGTTTAACTACTTTAGTTAAATTCAAATTAGTCAACCCTTAGGCATCTTGTTCTCTCTGCTAGTGAGGTTTTGCAAGAAATAGAGTGGGGCCTGACTTTTTCGGTACCCCAGCTGCAATTTTTTTGAAGCACCTGAGGCACCTCCACTGAATTTACCGATGTTACCAAATGAAACAGAGGAAAAGGCACAGACACAAAAAAAAGTCAGTGTTTGGGTGTCTTCAGAGGGAATTCTTCTGGTGGTTATTCCAGAGCAACAGGTTTATGGTATAATAAAAATCAAAGCATGGAAAAAATACTTGCGAGGTGTTTCAGACCCGGTAATTCCCAGCCCAGAGTTTTATCCGGAGCGCCCCAGTTCAGCTTTCTGTGAGCACTCATCTGCTGCTGGAGCCACCTCGGACGGGCTGCGGACCGTAGCAAGTAATTTCAGTGTGTTTTATTCCAGACTGAGGAAGGGTTTAGGTCTGTGTCAGCAGTGAAGATGCTGAACCCACACGAATCGAACTGAGTCTTTTAAGGTTGGAAATAATTTTTTTTTGCTTTCCCTTCTTTCTTTCTTTGGCGTGAAATTGTTTCTTTGCCATAATAGCTGATTATCTCTAATCTGCACCTTTTCTATTATGATTTTTGTTGATTTACCTTGATTTGAGTTTGTTTTTCGTTGTTACTATGGATTTTAGCCTGCTTCCCACAGGTTGTCGGAGCTCTTCCTATGCTGAACCCGTTTCTGCCTGATTATCTGAGGGTGCCCCTGATGTGATCCTGATGAAAAGTAGGTAGGGGACTTGCAAATTGAAAAATGAGCTTTAAAACAACCCCCCCAAAATGGAGAATGTTCTCCATGAGAAGAATATTTGGTGATTAAAAGATATTTGTGCTGTATTCCCTTTATAAATTTGGGCTTAGGAAGTGAGCCCTATTTTATCACTGATGTAACTGGGCTCTGCATAATTGCATCTGCAGCATCCTACGTGCAGCCAGGCTGAATTTCTTTAAGCCAACCAAAAATCCCCAACTTTGGAGTAAAGGCTGGACCAGAGAGAAAGTGGCTACTGATTTGCTGCATAGCAGTTGTGGTGGACGTGGTAACACAGCAGTTTCTGTGAAGGAGCCCTAATTCTCTTGGACCCGTGGCGCAGCACAGGTGAGGGACGAGAAGGGGCTGCCAAAGCAAAGCGGGGACAACTGCCGGGACACCCGAGGGTCTAAGTCTCACCTCAGGGCTAACGTGTGATCAGAGTTAAGTTTCCAAAAAGGAGAAAGCCAAGACCTGCAATGGA